ATATGACTTGCTGAGAAGTGTTATTGCCTCAATTGGGCCACTCTTCGGCCTTCAAAAAGCTTAAACTGACCGGCTAAGTGGCAGGAAGACTTCTTGGTATCGACAAGTCTGTCTCTGAGAGCCCTGACCCCCGGCGATTTCATGTAGACGGCGATGTACTTCCAATCCAGCAGCAAGGTCTCTGCTGGTACCTCCAAAGCGGCCAAAAAGTGTTTTTAGTCTCGGCCGCAGCGCTTGAAGAGTCTCCAATTCGCAGTAGAACCCGGGAGAGGACAGCTTCAAAATGCTGTAGGATGTTTTGCGATTGGGATTGTGGCCTTGGCTTGCTTCGCCTAGGACTGATAGGCAGTGGCGCACCAGGGCCACATTGGTGCCCAAGGGTATCTCGCTGCCCACCTTCGACAAGCACCGCCATGTGTTGTCCGGTTTCTAAGAGTCGGTTCGGTCAGGTCTTTCTACGATATGTCGTGTTCAGACCTAGCATAGGTTTGCGTGCGATGCTTCCACCAACTTGGCCACTTAGCCTTTCAGGAGGTGTCTTCACCCCGGGGCCGGTGCGCCGGCAAAAACCGACAGACTGGGTTTGATTGTCATGGTCCCCGGCGACAGGACATACAAAGGTGTTGCTCTTGGCGCCTCGAGTCAAACCAACCAACACATGCACAGGTCTGACTTGTTGGTCTGTCGTTCAAGGCAGAGCCTGCCTTGGTGCGGTTTGTGCCAAGGACGTCGGTTGTAAGGTAGACGATGAAGTGAGTCACCTTCGCATGCATACAAGCCAGCTGAATGCCAAGCCCAAGCAGGTTCTCGATGAGATGTTCTAGAAGCCTTGAGTCTGGCACCGGGCACCATGCCAACCCCACCACAGTGACATGGAAGAACTTGGGCGCAATGCACGCTTGGCTAGGGCGCCACGATGTCCGGGGCTGACTGGAGCATGGCAAAGACCATCGATGAAAACCGCGAGTCGAATCTTCGAAGCCGTTAAACACTCAGAATCCGAGCCATCTAAGCCCAGCATCGCGCAAAAATCGAGCTGAGAGGCGGTGGCCGTGAAATTCGGAGGCTCCCAAGCGACCTGGCCTCGCAGTTTCCACGCGTCCGGTGTCCTAGCTGAGGCTACTGGGCCTACTGGGCCTAGTGCTCATGCTGCAATGCCTGACACCAAGGCAAAACTTACAGATGAGCTGTACATACAACATGTTCATCACACCCCCCTAAACCAATCTCGGTAACACGCTTGGATCAACCACATACTGCCGGATGTGTCATCCTGATGACCCCACTCGTTACGAAAGGCGGAAGCAACTGACTGAAATGGAACCACACTGCCCTTGAAACCTCCACAATGCTGTTTCTGCAGCCGACTGACCCGTTCTCTCAAAATCAAAGACTCTGACTCCAAACATGGAACTCACATCTAACGCTATTTTCAGGCTTCTGTTCACCTGCCTCCCAGCTCGGATGGATCCAGGTCCTCCACTGAATATCGGCAGATTTCGACTTTGGACGGCTATTGAAAGGAGTGCTGTCATTTGTCGCATGCCAGGCTACTTCTGAGATGTCCCGAGCCAACAGCAATGACTGAAGGTAATACTGCAAAGACACGATGCTGACAGTCTTCCTGGGGCCATCCACCGAAACAAGCTAGTCAGTCGGTTCACCGAACAAACGTTGCGGGATTCCTACTTTCGACTCAAGTACCGAGGCGCCGGGATGTACCCCAGAAGAGTTCGGACTGATGAACGCATGTTTTCAAGCAGGCCTCGTCTGTGAATGTAATGTTCTCCACCTCGATGGCATCATCGATGAACTCCAAGGCCACTGGGGTGGTCTGTTCCGCAAGGGATGATCGAGTGTACCTCAGACTTTCAGCTTTACAGTTTCAGTCACTCCTCAATGGGTCGAGACCTTCCCGGCCCCTACGGCCCCATGGCCGAAGCTGTTGGAAGCCGCGACCCAAAGTCCTAAATATTAAGTGTGTTTGGTTTCGGCTGCTATGACTCTTGACTGCTTCCAGGCGTAGTCGCATAGGCCCAGCAAAAAAAGCATGACAAGGCATGAAACAGAACCCGGCTATCGTATCTCTGCTTTTCTAGGGCCAGCACTCGGAACAGGTTGCTCGGGAATACAAAACCGCACTGCACGGATCCAACTTCCATGCGTGGACTCGCACAGGAGGGCTGAAGTGAGACTGCAAGTCCTCCCCTATAACTCGCCCCCGCAGATGCAGCAAGCTGCAGAAGGATGTGCGACACCGACAAGGACTGGAAATTGTCGGGCACGTACGCTGTGTTGGTCCCAGCCGGCACATCCTGAAAAACAGCTGTGACGTATAAGAAATGCCGTATGCTGCACTCCTGCCCTCTCTGTGTCAGACTGCATAAAAAAGCGGTGCTCGTGTGTCGCATGGCAACGCAGATTTCAAGCGTCCGCCTACTGGCCCTGTGACACGGACCTGGCCGAGCTGAGATCTTCCCGTTCCGAAAGCAGAGGTGGCAAAGTAAACCTCAGCATATGCAAGTCTCCGACTACAAAGATTTGAACCCTCAGATGGAACTACAATTTTGCACCAGGCTCGCACTGACGGTTTCGTAAATCGACTTGCTGCTGTGACACGCGATAGTGCGTCACCTGCCCTGCATCTGCGGGCTCGGTCCAGACCACAGGGCCTGTCATCAGGTAAGACTTTGCATAGCCGATCTCTTGCTAGGCCTAACTAATGGCACAGTCACAACTGATCGGGATCAGATTGCCGCTACCTAGCTTCTGGTATTCTGCATGGCGACTTGCTTACACCTGACTGCCCGACCTACTTCAAGCATCGTTACTCGTCTGAGTCAGTGCTCTGCAGCCTGCAAGCTCGAACTTGTCCAAGTCTTCGTCCAAAAACTGCACATTGGATACGCTGGCATCGGTGTCGCTGATGTTGTGCACCTGCTGCAACATCTCTAAGTGGGGAACATAGGCGGAGAAAATCAACTTGTCGGGCTGCGAAGAGTGGGATGCTGCCTGAGAAGCTTTGGAATAGTGTCGGAAAGGGGGTATGACATCTGCCTTCAATTTTGCACGATGCCTTGATCGACGGACTGCTTCAGTACAGGAATCACAATTGCACCTGCCCGTCCGTTGACCTTCTCACATCAATATACCTCAACACCCCGCGACCCCTGGGGGTTCATGCGCTCGTACTGTGATTCGACCCCTGCCTGCTGACGTGGGGATTCCGTTTTTTGCAAATGTCATCTTGCCAGCGGGATTAGAGGGAAGCATCGGCCGAAGGACTTGGCAACAACAGCTCTGTTGAGCTCTTTGGCTTCTGCTGCAGGGCGCCTGAGGTGTAGTGCTCTCGAAGAGCCTGGACCGAGCGTAGATGTGCATCTCCTTCGATGCGACTTGTGCAGCACATCTATGCAAAACTGTAAGTCGGCGACGGGCCGGTCGGGCAAGGTGGAGGTTAACAGGCAAGCTTGAGGAAGACATGATTCCAAAAACATCTCCAAACTTGGCGGAAGTTGCAATTAATGCTCTGCTGCGTAGACTCTCGCCTTACGCTGGCTGTGTATGAATTCCTGTTGCGACCTGCTGACTGGTCTGAACTATTGGGTCAATCGTAAGCTTTAAGCATCAACGATCGTTTCCAAACTCTCCGGTGTTGGTCTCCAGTTTACTTGCACGAAACAGTGACACCGAACTCGGACCCTGTCTATCAGAAGGCGGGCACTTCAAAATGCCGCTGGCGCAAAGCAAAACAAATCCATCAGCCACCAATCTGTGGTGCGGCGTTGCTGGGCTCTCCCCCTCTCGCCCCACCCCATGGTATTACCCTCCCTCCCCACCCCTGTGGTTCCCTGTGGTGTGGCTGGTTTTCCATAGTACCTGCCGCTCCCGTAGTGGTCGTGCTTGTTGTTCCCTTTGTTCGGGATTTGGGCTTCAGGGTAGGATGTCGTTTTCATTCGTGCGGGGCAGGGGTGCAGTGCGTGACGGAAAATTGCCACATAGAGTTTCGCAGATGCCCAAAAGCATCGACAGTTCTCCGAGGATGGTAATGCGGACGAGCACCATCCCTGTACTTGTATGCACTGTTGAAAGGCCTACGCTGTTCAGGCCGACATGCCGTTCTTACAAAAGCAAAACCAACGTCAACAAAGCAAGGAGTCCATTCTGCAGCTTTGCAACACATGCAACACTGACAGTTTCCTCATCCCTGCGCGTCTCCTGCGTCGGTGGCAGTGAGAAGTTGTGATCAATGGCCAACCTCAGACTCTTCAGCAGCCCTTAGCAGATCTTAAAAGCAAGACCGGCTCGACTGTGGCCGTGGCTGGTTGCTGCCAACCGGGGATATTCCGACTAAACTCCGGCCAGCGCTCTGCACGACATAAACCAAGTAGTCCTGCAAATATGCTGTGCCCAGGTGGCATCAGACGATGTATCTGGAATCCACGGAGCATCAGTCGATAGTCCAAACAACACTTTACTTCCAATTAGGCGAGGTCTGCATTCGACCAAGCTCCTGGACCGCGAAGTCGTCACCTTCAGAAGCCCATGTCAACGTGCCGCCAAGTTCACCCACATCCAGATCCTGGAACCAGTCTCGTCACAAGGTTTCCGGAAAAGACTTAAACACAGACTTGGCCCTTCTCTCCGTCACCAGGATCAGGATGCCGAAGCTTCTGTTGGACATTCAGTTTGCCTTTCTGCTCACCCTCCTATAGTCTCGTCTCTGAATTGTCTCTAGTCACTAGTCCCAAGCACTAGCCGCTAGCTCAACCTCGACAAGCCATCAGGTGGATCACGTGAAGGCTCATGGTCGCGGCAGCCTTGTCGACAAAGCTGATGTTGCTGACAGCAGCCTCGAATGTGGCACTCAAAGCCACTCAATGGTCGCTACAAGGACAACACACAAATAGCATGATTGGCAGGCGGCAACTGGCTGCATGCGCAAACGAAGAATGGCAGCGCAAAACTCAAATCAGAATCCAGCCTGTGTGTCGTTTAGCACAGCAGCGGCCGGTGTAGACCTTCATGACTCCGCGTTGTTCGAGAATTGTTCCGCTGAATCAAAACCTTCGGTACTCTCAACCCACGATCTGATCACAGGAGGAGCGGCGGAGCAAAGCATCCATTTCCGCAGCAGTTCACAAGTTAAAGGAGTCATGCGGTCTCGCACGGCAACCCTGCCGCCAGCTTCCTATGGCATCGTCCGTCACAACCCTGTGCTCAACTGGGGTCGACACTGCTCCACGAAGGTGGACTTTGTGTAGACAAGGAAAACCTCAAAGTGCGCCTGCTCGCTTCGAGAATGCTGGGGCTCTCAGGGCCAGGGCATCGGACAAGTTCTGTGAAGCGTTACCGTAGGAAGGAGACGAGGAGAAGCTCGAGCAACAATCCACAACCAAACTACAGACCCAGGAGCCCAAAGAACCAACAAGAAAAACAACTGCCAACTCGTACAGTTGTTGACATTTGATCCCTGACCCGGTCAATGTTGTCGCTGGTCGTTGCAGTCAGCTCCGCAGTGCCAGGGACATCCGCGTGGACTGCCTCCGAAGCGTGGTTCAATCGACTCCAACGGGAAGACCGCGACAGCAAACCCCACACACAGCATCACAATTCACACACCCGCCCTAACACTAGAGAATACGAGAGAGATGCTGCCGAGAACCATGCTCTCAAGCTTGAAATGTAGAGATCGGCCTGCCGTCCCGACAAGTCTGCCGCAGCGAAATAGAGCGAATATGCCGCAACCTCTCCAGCCACGAAGCTAGGCGGAAGGAAGCAAGAAGAACGCGCACAGTGCAAGCAGCATGCATCACTTTCGCATTCGGGTCTTCCGCTCGACAGCAGTCATGCTGGAGCGAACCTCGAGGCAGTATGCCCAAATGTTTCGTGAGTTCAAGCTTTGATGCCAGAAACCTCGAGCCCTCACCGGTTTCGCTGCGCATTGCGAAAGGTGCGAGGTCCTCAGGACCGGAGGCCGACTTTTTGCTGGCATTTCCGCATCGGCTACACATGCTTGGACAGCGTTCTGGATAAGTATGTTATCGTATATTATGCAGACCTGGCAGAGCACGAGCCATCTCCGTCACGACATGACGACCGCACCCTTGCTGTGCGCCTGAGTCGCATCGGCTGGCTCTGAGAAGTTCATCACCCCTCCGAACCTCAGTGTGATGTAATTACAAGGGCTTCCGCACAATAGACAGCATTCTGTTCGCGGTTCTCTCTCTCTCACATCTTCATGTAAGGGAGAAGTGCAATTGAGACAGCAACGCAGGCGGAACCTGAACACCACAAACTCTGCGTCTCCACAAATAAAACTGAACCTACTCGAGTGCACGCAAGGTGGGTAGGCAAGGGTGGTAAGAATCTTCAATATATTTCCACATCCATATTGCCCAGTGCAGTATGGCAATCGGTCCGCTTCAATTTGGGATGAGCAAGCGAAGGAAGCAAGGCCGCTCACTCCTCCACACCGGAATGACAGTGAATCCATCAAGTCCTCCATCTTAGCTGACATTGACACTCAAGACGAGTAGCTGATCCGTGTCCAGATCCAAGTCTTCGAACTGCAGGTCCATTGCCTTGAGTGGGAGAGAGAGCGAGAAATACAAACGACAACACCTAGAAATACACTATGGTTGCAGATCAGATCGCTTACATTGCTTACATTATGTCCCACAGGCTGGCAACACTATTCAAGATACACGAATGGCAGCAACACCAAACAACACCCCCTGCCGTTCGCATGCGTTCCGACCAGTCAAAAACACTGAACCTGACACCCTTTTGGCAAGAAAAGGCCAAGCAAGGCGCCACGGACTCGATATCGCTGATTCCGACTGATGCTGGTGTTGTCTGTTCGAAGAGGGAAGACTTCGCGAAGACAGCGGCTGCAGTGCCTTGCGTCAGCTAGCAGGCTCAAGGGTAGTCAAACTCCGGACAAAGCCTCACCGAGGTCTGCAAAGCAACTCTCTTCTTGGAGGCCCTGCTTTGCAACAGACTGCTATCGTACGAATTGCTGAGGCCGCGGGCTTGCTGCGAGTGGCTGATCCGCTGCCACTGTGGCCGTTTGCACATTGGGTGGCAAATCCACGCCGATCTGAGACCTGAAACTTTGCGTCCGCCTAGCGCCACTTAATGTCACGCGTACTACATAGGGGTGACTCTGACTGCTCTTTCTAACACAAGGTCTACATTGCCCAGGCGTACTAGACTTGTAAAGCGAGGGTAAAGCGACACTCACATGCCCCGACAAATCAGCGGAAGGCCTGTTCCCGGTGTTGTCGAGCCTGGGCGCTTCGGCCACCAACTCAAATCTCGGGGGATTGCGGAGGAGTAGGGTCCGATGACTGATGGAAACGCTGGGTTGGTGCATGTGGCCAGGGTGGAGATGGCCAGAACAGGAGTTCGATATAAATCTCCAGCAGGATTTGGGGAGTGCTTGGAAAGTCAATCCGCGCAGCCTCAATGTCGAAAGAGCCTGTTGAAAGATCGGAAGCACCCATCTAAGTCTGTTTCGACCTGGAGTTCCACCCACCGGCTTCTCTGTTCTTAGAAGTTGCTGTTGATTCCACGAACTCCAGTCTGATCCCAGGGCTTGCTTGCTGATCCATGCTACATGCTCTCAAGGTTGCCTACACCGAGCCTCAATCCTGACATCCAAGCCGGATTCTACCAACAACGCGGATCACAATTCAAAGTGACCCATCGGCCCGTTGTCCTGCTCAGGTGCAGCCTCAGGGGCGAGGCTTCAGCTTGATCTGAGAGGCGGGCAAAAACACGCGGTAGTGAACGAGCTGCGATGTATCCACGGGTGTCCTGTTCACGAACTGAAGGAAAACGCCACAGAAAGCTGAACTCATTCAGCCCAGTGTCTGCCATGTGACAATGCCGCCCAACTCGCCAGCATCCAAATCCTTCCAGAGTCAGCATCTCTAGAGACTCCGACCCTCAGCTGACCCTGAACTCCAACCAGTCTGAAGTCCTACAGATCTCAGGTTGAGTGAGGATTGGGGTGCATGCGCGGAAAGACACGGTTTCATATGATGGCTCGAGATTTTCCAACATGGACTGCGAAATCTTGTGGAGTAAGCACCCAATGCCTGAGACACACCCACGCGACAGCTGCTCCGTTTGGATTTGAGCCAGGAAGCTCAGGATGGGGATATAAATCTTCAGAGCCAGGTTTGGAGAAGAGCCGCTGGAAATCCGCTAGGCGATTAACTGCAGATTCAGCGCAAGGCCCTACCGCCTGTCGCAAAGAACCCGGGCCCATCAACCTGCGAAATCTTTGCCCACGGCGCCTTGTCGACAAAGTCAAGGCCTGTTTTGTTGCTCTTACGAGCTGGGATGAACTGTTGAACTACGGGTAGGTGCCACTTCTTCGCTCACGCTTAGTGGCAAGGATTGACCAACAAGTTGTGTTTCGTTTCATCGGGTTGTCAACATCATCGACATTCCCAATAAGTTTGACCGTCCAGAAGGCAAGAAAATCGCTTTTTGTGCTCAAGCACCTCCAGCATCAGAGTTTGCCTTCAGAGATGTTGTGGGTACTCGAGGTCCGGCATTCCAAGATGTTCAGGTACTCCGGGGATGGTACGAGTTGTTCGTTAATACAAAACGAAAGACCCGATCGACGATGCAGCTTGGAGACATGCAGAAGGACAACAGATGCCAGCAAGTTGAGCTATCGCATCGTGAAGGTGACACTGGCAACTATGATCTCAGAGTGTACAGCACCACCTCAAGAAGCAATGCTCTCAAAGGAGCAGGCTAGAACTGATTCTTCAATTTCTTGCACCTTGGACAGTCGAGGCAGCATCGCTGATACGGAACTGTGCCGGCGTGGTCCTTGGTTCCAAACACACGCTGCACATGTGCATCTGTATGTTTATGAGGGTATTCGTGGTAAGGGTTGCAACACGGGCTATGGTAAAGGTGAAACAAGGCCCCCAAGGTTAGGCTACAGTACCACCGTCACCGGGCATTGGTGCCTGAATCTTTCGCGTTTTGGGGCACACATGGAACTGGAACATGCGTGCCTGTGCTTGTCTTTGCGGGCCCAGGCGTCGCATGAATCAGTTTCCATGTGCAGAAAACACAACGATGCTGACAGATCTAATGGTAAGAAAGCTGGGAGGGGTGTCTTGCAGCTGATCCTGGGCTACTGGTAGCTATGTATGTGTCCATGCGCATGTGTGCACGCAAGCATGTGCTGTTGTAATGGTGCGTATGTGTAAACGTTTATCTGTCGTCTATACCTATATACATTTTCGTTTGCATATATATATATATATACATATCAATAACCAATACCAATACATACGTTCATGTGCATGCATAGACAGATCGATACATAGATGGAAAGATTGACAGGGAGATACACAGATCTAGATAGACTTATATAGATATACAGATATATGTAGATTTCTAGATATATAGATATATAGATAGGTATAGGTCTAGATATAGATATCGTAGACTTAGATATGGTGGCTAAATAGACCGATCGACAGCTAGATCGACGGATAGAGCTAACAAAGAGATAGATAGATAGAACAGATAAGGATATATAGATAGATATATGGATAGATAGACAGATAAATGGAGCAGATAGAATAGATGGTTAGATCGATAGATAGATAAGTAGATAGATAGATAGATAGATAGATAGATAGTTCCGTAGGTAGATAGATAGACAGATCGATAGATAGATAGATAGATAGATAGATACACAGATCGATCGATAGATAGATAGATGGATGGACAGATAGATAGATAGATAGATAGATAGATAGATAGAACAGATAGAACAGAATGGACTAGAATAAAATTGAATGACAGATAGACAGATAGATACACGGACAGACAGATAGATAGATCGCGAGATGGATGGATGGATGGATGGATAGATGGATAGATGGACAGATGGACAGATGGATAGAGATAGATAGATAGTTAGATGGATGGATAGATAGATGGAACAGATGGAACAGATGGAACAAATAGATTCATGTGTCGAAGACGGATCCTTTGCAAGCATCGGGAGTTTCGTGCGAGATTCCTGTCTCGACGATTAGTCTTGTCATGTCTTCCAAGCCGCGGGTTTTCTTCAAGGATAGATGGCCTAGCTGGTGACTAGACACTGTCCTGCCATGCTCGCGGTAGCTCTGCGAGGTGATTCGGTTTCTCCTTTTGCCCATGAGTCCCCATTCGAGGGTGCCTTTCTATAGAGAGGAGGAGAGGGCGGAAGGCAGTCGCATGCCAGCATTCACAGCCGCGTGGTTTCTGACAAGGCTCTGCTCTGCCAGCACCGATTGGGCATAGACCTGCAAATCAGATCAAACTCGCGTTACTTAGCAGAACCTAGTCCAGTCGAACGAGAGATGCAAGAACCTTCCAACAGCCAAACGGGCACGAACTTCCACAGGGAGTACATCCAGGCTTTTCTGCAATGGTTCTAGCCATAGGAAAAGCTTCTTACACAAGCTTGTCTCGGCTCCACTTGTATGCAACACATGAGCGGCACCTGCAGGTACGTGAAATTCGTGAGGTTGGTTTCCTCTGCAAGGAGAGTCTCGTTGGCGCCAACCAGGACAGGATTGCCGGCCTTGCACGCATGGATCTTCCATGCGCCAAGCAGGATGCTTGGAAGGCTGCCGGTTGCAAAGATCTGCTGGAGGTCCACCGCGCTGTCTAAATGCACTACCACTGCAGTCCGATTGTAAGCTGGTGGTACTTGAAGGCTTTCAAGCTCTTCGCAACACCACTGCTCCAGAACAAACACTTGCAGATTTCACGTCTCTATACTTGAAGAAGCAAACTGGGGATGGACAATTTCGGAGCACGTGGGAGCTGCCTGAGACCGTTCTTCGCCAATGCCCTCATCCGAAAGATACAGGACGTAGTCGACGACCTGTGATCGTGTAATGGTGTGGGCTTCTGGTGAACACACTACTCACGGGCACTGGGTGGGCCCGGACGGGGGAACCATCAAAACACACCCGAAGTGCTATAGTGAATGAAGCTTGGCGACTGATGTGGCTCAGGCTTTGGTGCTTGTTCTTCATTGTAAGTACCGAAAAAGTTGGGCCAGCCGGCACTGCAAGCAAGAGCATGACAAAGCGCGTCGCAACCCCACAGCAGCCCTGAATGACACGGTTCAGACTTGTAGACCGACTCCGAAAGCAGGCCACGGGAACAAAGCCTTTTTCTCACTGTCAGGCGCTCGCGTGGGACAGTGGAAGCTAAGTATCTACAGTATGCCTACACGTGCCAACTTTGGATTCAGAGCTTCGGTCAGTTGCCTCTTCACAGCGAATGTTAGCCAGTTGTGTGCATTTCGTGGATTTGTGGCATGCAACTTTGTAGGACATCTTACGAATCTGAACGGGTCGACCCCTCAAGGCTGAAAGATGCGCAATGTTTTGGGGCTTCCCTAGACAGAGAGGTTGCACATCTTGTCGGCAATCTTGCCGTCTATTCTCTTCAGGATGCCCTTCAGCTGAGAGCCAGGTCCGAGCTCGTAGAACCTCAAAGGAAGCGACGCGAGCAAGGAGAGATCTTGGAATCCGAAATCCGAAGTCTGACCCCGACGACCCCACTCGGTCACACGCTCGGTGCAGCCGTCTCTGATCGCCTGCTGCATGGACCTCGGCCACCGATCCCAGACCACAGCCGCAGGCTTCATTACTGCCAGATCCAACAGCCCCCACTGCTCCCGTTTCCAGATGTAGCCCCGAGTGCACATGCAATACCGGACCTTAAAGTTCTCACCCGCAGCCCGTCCCTCTAAATCTCCAGACTTTCCTAGAAATGGACAGTTACTTAATTGCTTACTCACTCCCTTCCTTCTTTCCTAGCTTGCTCTCTTGTTTACCTAATTGCATAACTAAAAAGCCGAAGTCTGCACTGTGTGACCATCTGCTCTGTGCAAAGGGCTGCTCCCACAGCACTGGCGAAACCATCTGGTCCGCGAGCAGCTTCACAATCTCCTGGCGAAGCTGGGAAAACGATAAAGGTTAATCAGCAGGAACCACCACCACAACAACAAGAAGCAGAAGAAGAAGAAGACATCGGACGCATCTGCCGCCGCGAAGAGTCTTTCGCGGGACTATGGAATGTGCAAAAACCTCGAGTGTTTTGCAATTTTTGTATGCAAGATTTGCGGAATGTAGCTTGCAGGTGCGTGTTATGTTTTTGCGGAAGTGAGGCAAAGACCGTGGTTTTCGTTGTGCTCGTTGTTCGATGTGTGCGCGTGCCCGTCTTTGAGCTTTCAGAGGGTCCCGAGTCCCGAGGGGCTCGAGATTCTTGTCGCGCGACACGAGCAAGTCTACGTTGGGTGACTGGCAAAACTAGACTCAACATGATTATTAATCGTCGTCGCCGCCAGCAGCAGGCGCCATCGTCATCACCATCATCATCTTCATGTCATCGTCATCATCGGCACAGAAATAACACATCTGGAGACCACTTTAAAACAGACGGCACGCAAGAAGGCTCCAAATGTTTAACAAGCGTGAAGACCGTCCATTCCTCCGCAGGAGGCATGGACGTCATCAGCATCACCCCCTCCCCACTCCCCCTCGCCCGTGCTTCCCCCACCCAGGCACTGAAGCAAAAAGAAAAACATAATATACATAATCCGCAATCCACGGACGTCATCCTCCACCCGCGCCCGCTCCCTACTACACTAGTAGTACTAGTACTATAGTACTAGTACTAGTACGAATACGAGTACTACTACTAGTACTAGTACTAGCACTGCTACTGCTACTGCTACTGCTACTAACTGCAACTGCAACTACTACGACTACTACCACCACCACCGCCACCCACCACCACTACGACTACTACTACTACTACTACTGCTGCCGCTACTACAACGGCTACTACACCTACTGTTACTAGAACACAAAGGTCATGTGTTTCTCAACTGGCCTCGAAATCGTCTGTGCACAGTTGGTTGCCGGGGTCTGGCCTGGGCTGCTCGTACTTAGCGCTTAATATAGGGGCCTCAGTAATTAGAATAGGGGTTTTAGGATTCCTTCAAAGGGTTCCTTCAAGGGTTCTATAAGGGCTACTACAAGGGTTTAGGGTTTAGTGGCCTTAGTAATTAGAATAGAGTTTTGGGGCTCTTATACTATAACTATAATACGGAGCCCTTAAAATAGTAACTATTGGTAATTATTTAGGCCCTATATTCGGATCTTCGCAGGATTTTGAGCAAGCATGCCTGGGTGGATCTCCCAGCTGGACGCTGCTGCCTGGGGTTCCTTCAAGTTGTAAAGGTACATTGTTCAGGGGTCCTTCCGACAACTGATAAAGAACTTACGAGTACCTAAGTCGGGGCTTTTTATTTCACTACAAGCAGTGCATTGCCGAGAAAGACTCAGACTAGGATCCCAGAAACAAATCGAAACCCAAATCCCCGAAGCCTGAGACCCCCTAGACCCCGGCATCCGCATCAAAACCCCAAACCCTCAGGCACCTAATCCCGCGCTCGTGAGCAAGGCAGGTAACCCTAAACCCTAAACCCTAAACCCTAAACCCTAGGTCGAGTGGCAAAGATGCCACCAGGAAGTCGGCCCAGGTCTTCAAGAGCGACCAGTAGCCTGATTAGGGCAAGGGCTCCGAATCTTCGTGACGGCAGGGTTGAGGGTTTAGGGTTTAGGGTTTAGGGTTTTGGCAAGGTTGCGCAAGGTGTCTGGGGTTGAGGTTTTGTCTGTGGCAAAGTGGAGGAAGGGGTGCCCAACAGAGCAGTGGGGTACACCAGCGCAGGGTGCAGAGTTTCCTGAACCCGAAACCTTAAACCCCTAAACCCTGAACCCCTAAACCCTGAACCCGCGGACAGGCAGCTGCTCAACCATTCCAGGTTTCCCAACTTCTTGGACACGGCAGCGATCATGATGAGCATGTTGCCGCTCTCCTGGTGAATCGCTGGTCTTTAAAGAAGTACTAACCCTAAACCCTGAACCCTAAACCCTAAACCCTGAACCCTAAATCCTAAACCATGAACCCTGAATCCTAAACTGGGAGGATCCACCTAATGTAGGCCAGATATGTTGGAATAGGGCTATTGAATAGGGTGTTGGGGTTGCTTTAGGGGGGTTCTTTAAAGGGATCTATCATAGGGTTCCATGATATAATGGCCTTCATTAGAATCGGGTTGTGGGCATACTATACTAGAATTATATACAGAAAAGGAGCCCCGAAGTAGTATTGGTAGTTATTCTGCCGGACATAGTAGTCCAACATGACGAACAAACCCTGCTCCAAATCTTGGAGCGCTCCGCGCGAGGCAGGTGGTAGTTTCCGAAAACAAGGGGTA